CATGATGTTTTACAAATAGTTTTGAATAAATACTCATCTTCTTTTGTTACACTCAAATTGATTCGAAACAGACTTATGACACAAAAGCCATATATTTTCAGCTCTGGACCCGCCATAGAGGTTACGACGCGTAGGTCAGATTTTGCAGGCCTCGCGCCTTAATATATTCTTAATTCACTTGTATCATATAATTCCATTCATATTGTATATTACTTTTAAAAATTCTGGTTTTCTCTCCCGCTCGAAATCAGCTCTTTATATTGTAGGCAGCGGCATATATTTTATTTCGCGGGACCAATATAACCAGCGAATAATGAGCAAAACCTTTCATTATATTGGCACTCCCTGCTATTTTTATTATATTTTTATATTTACATATCAAACTATCAAAAATAAAATAATACGCCATTTTTAAATCGATATAACTCCATTTTAAAAATATATATATATATATAATTGCTTAAAATAATTCATTTTAACGCCTAAAAACGCCATCTTATACAAAATATAGGTTAATTTATTTATTTCGATTTTAAAAAGTAATCTATAAATGATTATTCATGAAATTATATTCTATTTTTCATTTTTAAGCAAAATTCAATAACAATAAAAGCAAAATTGGGAGGGCTTTACTTTTTCTTTCCAGTAAATTATATTTAAAATAACATAAATATATATATATTTACAATATAATTAAATTAGTAAATATATGTCATAATACGCTCTTATTTTTAATTTATTACCTGAATTAATATTATTGCTATTAAATAATATAGTTTATTTTCAAAATTTAAAATTCGAGTGTTCTATGGTTTTCTAAAGCCATTACCCAGGTGCGAATCCCGCTTTGGAAACCTTTTTTTTATTTTATAATCTCATATTTTCCATATATTTTTATATAAATTAAAATTAAAATGGCCTTGATTTTAACCAACAGTTGACCTAAAGAAATTATTTAATGTGAAGGCGAGTGTATATTGATTTCCAACCTCAAAGACCTGGGTTCAAATCCCGCGCGGGACCCTTTTTTTTTATTTTTTTTTTATAAGTTCTTATAATTTTACATATATATATTTTTTATATTTTTCAAAATATAAATTCAAAAAAATATATAATGGCCCCGAATTTAACCATCATGTCGTAACCGGCCCTCGCGCGTCTCGGGAGTTTCTAATTCTTGAACTGGCTAAACTTTCAAACTACCTCTCTGGGCTCGGTCGAATATTTGCCTAGCTGCGATAGAATAGTCCTATTTATGTCTAGTACATCCCATAAACGCCGACGAAAGTCTCAAACAGCGCGGGAACCATTTAGAGGTTTTGGCTAACGCTGTGTGCCTGTGTGCTGTGTTACCTGCACCCAAGAACACAAACTTAGGTCCTGGTCCCATTAGTCAGTATTCTTTCGTGTCGCGGAAGATTTTTAAGAGGGTTTCAAATAGCAGTTGCACTCTGGCATCCAACAAGGGTCTCTAGGATGTAGCTCTCTAATTTTCTAAAAGCCGGTGATTCGGCTTTGTCACAGACCAGAGACCCCTAGTTTGCGTCGACCGTCAATAGATGGCTTCTAGTTTTGATATCTTCTTCAAGGTGCGTCCTTTATTCTGTAAGAGTTTGAATTTCTGTAACTAATGAGCCACCAAAGAGGAAAGGAAAGGCGAGATGATATCAGCGGAAAAAGCAAACGAGCAAAAAATGTATGTTTATATGTATATATCTACTTGGTGTTCCCCCTTAAGGAAGTTGTAAAAGCCTTCGCCATGATCAGGGAGCCCTCTGGAAGAACTAAGTCATCGTTTTGGTTGCGATGTGTGGTCTGCTATGAGCGCCCCTTATTCGGAGGTGTACCTTAAACAATCCATGAAGTTAGCCCTTCTTGGGCTTGTATGGAAGGTGGCGAAACGCTTTTACCTAGTATGATGGGTTCCAAAGGGTTTAACAGCCCTAAAATGGCGGTTCGGATAGGCGAGAACCACCTCTAGTTACTCATTACCATTAGGTTGACTTTTGATAGGGCACAAAAGCATACTGCATCTTTATAAAAACTCGCATGCTTTATTTAGGTTTTCCATCCTTTTGAATAACCATAGTCTCTCTGACCCGCTAAACAATATACATCTTTTCGAATATCATATACAAATTAATCCATATATTTCAACCGTCATGTTACAAACTAAATATATGGATTAGAAATAACGAAAAAGATGAATCTACCAATGTTATTTTGCATCTTTTGGTGTTCCTTATATAGACTCTTGGAATGGCTATTTTAAATGCACTGTGTACATAAGCTTATGGAGCATATTGTGTACTTATTATTGCATGTGTTACTACTGCCATCAAAGGCTTATGTCCATAGTTCATTCAAAATACCCATTCCAAGAGTCCAGCGTTAGTATCAGTAATAAAAGGATCACCAAAAAGGGTAATATAACAGCGGTATGGTAGATTAAACTGGCAAAACCGCTGGGAGGGTTCACCACTGATGAGCCATGATCAGTGAGCCTGGTGAAAGCACAAAATCCTCGCTTTAGTTTCGATGTGGGGTCTGCTATGAGCGCTCCTTATTCTGAGGGGTGCCTTAAGCAACCCCTGAAGTTAGACCTTCCTGGGCTTGTATGGAAGGTGGCGAAACGCTTTTACATAGTATGAGGGGTTCCAAAGAGTTTAACAGCCCTAAAATGGCGGTTGGGGTGGGGAGTTCCACCTCTTGTTACTCATTGCCATTAGGTTGACTTTTGATAAGGCACAAAAGCACTCTGCATCTTTATACAAACTCGCATGCCTTTATTTAGGTTTTCCATCCTTTTGAATAACCATAGTCTCTCTGGGCCCGCTAAACAATGTACATCCTTCTGAATATCATATACAAATTAATTCCTATATGAACCCTCTTGTTCCAAACTAAATGTATGAAGTAGAAATAACGACATAGACGAACTTTTATATGTCGCAATGGGTAAAAATAATTTATTGAACTTTAGATTATTTGGCCGCTGGTTTCTATCGAAAAGAAATAACGATGATGTAAACAGAGCGCAGCATTAATGAGCTTTTGAGTTGACCCTAAACATCTGGCAACCTGTTTACAAAAGTCCTTTACCATAATAGACGCGCATGATTCTTTTTTTAATTAAACAATTTCTTAAAATACAATATAACGCGGCTGATGATTGTAAAACGAAAATTGCAATTATACCGCGAATGTTTCTTTTAAACAAAAATCGAAATCTATTTTTAAAGAAAAATAACGATTATTTCTAACTTTAAGAGGGAGTATGATAGGATTAATTGTGAAGAGTAATGACAAAAGGAAAAATAAAAGTGTCCAGGGGCGGGAATCGAACCCACAACCTTCTGCTTGCCGGGCAGGTATCATGTCCACTACGCTAACCTGGACGTATTTTTCTGTTCGTAAATAATATTTAAAGTAATTTATAATACATTTTAAATACAATATAACGCGGCTGATGATTGTAAAACGAAAATTGCAATTATGCCGCGAATGTTTCTTTTAAACAAAAATCGAAATCTATTTTTAAAGAGAAATAACGATTATTTCTAACTTTAAGGATGAAGTATGATAGGATGAATTGTGAAGAGTAATGACAAACGGAAAAATAAAAGTGTCCAGGGGCGGGAATCGAACCCACAATGAAAAATTCACGGCAAGGCCTGGCTCATCAACCCATAGCGGTTTCGCCAGTTTATTCTACCAATTTTATATTACATTTTTTGGTGTTCCTTATATAGACTCTTGGAATGGGTATTCTGAATGGACAATGTACATAAGCTTATCATGCATATTGTGTATTTATTATTGTACGTGTTTTTACTGTCCTTAAAAGCTCATGTCCATATTTCTTTCAAAATACCCATTCCAAGAGTTCAGCATCAGTAATAAAGAGAAACACCAAATGGGGTAATATAACAGCGGTAAGGTAGATTAAACTGGCGAAACCGCTGGAAGGGTTCACCACTGATGAGCCAGGCCCTCCCATTAATTTTTCATTGCAGTAAGGGCAGTAGATAAATTGTTTAATTTTTAAAAAGAATCATCCGCGTCTATAATAAGTCCGAGTTTTCATAACAGATGGCGCGCTGATGCATCATGATGTTTTACAAATAGTTTTGAATAAATACTCATCTTCTTTCGTTATGCTCAAATTGATTGAAACAGACTTATGACACAAAAGCCATATTTTTCAGCTCTGGACCCGCCATAGAGGTTACGACGCGTAGGTCAGATTTTGCAGGCCTCGCGCCTTAATATATTCTTAATTCACTTGTATCATATAATTCCATTCATATTGTATATTACTTTTAAAAATTCTGGTTTTCTCTCCCGCTCGAAATCAGCTCTTTATATTGTAGGCAGCGGCATATATTTTATTTCGCGGGACCATTATAACCAGCGAATAATGAGCAAAACCTTTCATTATATTGGCACTCCCTGCTATTTTTATTATATTTTTATATTTACATTTCAAACTATCAAAAATAAAATAATACGCCATTTTTAAATCGATATAACTCCATTTTAAAAATATATATATATATACTAGCGAACCCGGCCACGCGTTGCTGTGGCTAAATTGTAATATGTTGAATAAACATTATACTAAACTATTCAGTACAGTAAAGTTAATATTCACTTATAAAGATAAAAATGTTTTAGCCGATCTAAAGCCCTACGGGTTTGAGAATGGAACGTTACGTTAAAAATTGAAAGTGATTTATATATATATAGATAATAGAGCCCTTTATAATATTCATTGATTATAATCACTGCATTAATAAATGTCAGTCTTCCCAGTATTCTTTTACCTATGTATGGAAATTTTGGTTTGAATTAGTGAACTACTGCGAAGTTGTAGACGAATGACCCGGGCAACGCCCGGGTTTACACGATTAAATGTATATTACATATGGAAGAGATGGACGTAGTTCCCGGAGGGCACCCGCGAGGTCACTCTGCCCCCGCGCAACTGTCCAACCGGGAGCGCCCCGCGCCGTCAAAATCGTAACGCGTTCTAGAGGGCGCTGCTCGGCCGTCAGCCGGGAGATCTCATTTACCCGGCGGGGGGGGGCAGGGAAGTCACGTGCTGCGCCGGCAGCCAATCGTCGCGCGCCGCCATCGCCCGTCTGCCGCGAGAGGGGCGTTGATTGCGAGTGAATTTACGTTTTATTGTAAATAAAAATGCAACGAAAGGTTATTTCTAAAGAGTAATTAGCCATAAACCATCCCTGTAGTATACTAAACATCTTCCCAAAGTTTCATCACGATTGGTTGAGCGATGTAGAAGATTATCACTCACGGACGGACCAACGGACCAACCGACCAACGGACCAACAAACATCCATTTTTATATATATAGATAATTGCTTAAAATAATTCATTTTAACGCCTAAAAACGCCATCTTATACAAAATATAGGTTAATTTATTTATTTCGATTTTAAAAAGTAATCTATAAATGATTATTCATGAAATTATATTCTATTTTTCATTTTTAAGCAAAATTCAATAACAATAAAAGCAAAATTGGGAGGGCTTTACTTTTTCTTTCCAGTAAATTATATTTAAAATAACATAAATATATATATATTTACAATATAATTAAATTAGTAAATATATGTCATAATACGCTCTTATTTTTAATTTATTACCTGAATTAATATTATTGCTATTAAATAATATAGTTTATTTTCAAAATTTAAAATTCGAGTGTTCTATAGTTTTATAAAGCCATTACCCAGGTGCGAATCCCGCTTTGGAAACCTTTTTTTTATTTTATAATCTCATATTTTCCATATATATTTTTATATAAATTAAAATTAAAATGGCCTTGATTTTAACCAACAGTTGACCTAAAGAAATTATTTAATGTGAAGGCGAGTGTATATTGATTTCCAACCTCAAAGACCTGGGTTCAAATCCCGCGCGGGCCCCTTTTTTTATTATTTTTTTTATAAGTTCTTATAATTTTACATATATATATTTTTTATATTTTTCAAAATATAAATTCAAAAAAATATATAATGGCCCCGAATTTAACCATCATGTCGTAACCGGCCCTCGCGCGTCTCGGGAGTTTCTAATTCTTGAACTGGCTAAACTTTCAAACTACCTCTCTGGGCTCGGTCGAATATTTGCCTAGCTGCGATAGAATAGTCCTATTTATGTCTAGTACATCCCATAAACGCCGACGAAAGTCTCAAACATGAGAATAGGAGCCAGCGCGGGAACCTTTTTGAGGCTTTGGCTAACGCTGTGTGCCTCCATTACTTTTACCTGCACCCAAGGACGCAAACTCAGGTCCTGGTCCCATTTGTAACGTCCTCGTATTTGTTTGTTGACGTTAATCAGCAAGAAGTACTTGGAAGTTTAAAAAGAAAGACTTTATTTTATTTAGGCCAACATCAGACATAACATATGTCTGTTAATTAATATGTTATGTCTGATGTTGGCCTAAAAGAAATAAAGTCTTTCTTTTTAAACTTTCAAGTACTTCTTGCTGATTAACGTCAACAAACAAATACGAGGACGTTACATGGTGGCAGCGGCGCTTGTAAACAACACCACGTGGTAAGAACAATTTATTAATTTCCAATTTCTTAAAGTATTTCAGAACATCTCTAATTGCATGTTCAAATAAAATTCAAATTGCATAATAATATATACAAAATAATTTAATTTACAAGCAAGAAGAAATAAGTGTATTTTTAGAAAAAAAAATACAATAACAACAACTAGGCGGAAAATGCTATTCGACCTCCAAAACAAATAGGCCTAAACAAACTAAACAATGAAGGCTGGGAATCTTGGCTTGAAAGCTTTGAATGGTATGAAATTGCTACCCAATTAAGTAGTAAAGCACCAGAGGTACAAGTTGCTATCTTTATGGCTGCAATGGGACGAGAGGCTCAAAATATTTTTTAAATCTTTCAACCTAAATAATGCAGATAAAAATAATCTGAGCATTGTAAAAGACAAGTTCAACAACTATTTTTCTCCAAAGCTGAACACTACAATTGAAAGATTAAAATTCAATCAGATGAAACAGAAAGAAGATGAATCATTTAATGATTTTCTGACTAGGATCAAATTACAGATAGCAAACTACAAATATGCTGTCATGTCTGATGAACTACTTAAAGATCAAAGAGTTGTAGGAATTATCAACAATGAAATAAGAGAAATACTTCTTAGTGAGGCTGACCTTAATCTGGAAAAAGCCACACAAATATGCATAGCATGTGAAAATGCCACAAACCAAATGAAACATGTACTATCCGACTCAGACAAACAAGTTGCTGTGACATGATGAACAGTAAGAAGTGGGGAGATAGAAAAAAGCCGAGGAAAGAAAATATCACTAACCAAAGTCACAAAATAATAGAAAACTGCAGAAATTGTGGCAGATCCCACAAAATCAACCAATGTCCGGCATATCAAAAGAGATGCAACAAATGCAAGAAACTATGTACATCTTTTCGAATATCATATACAAATTAATCCATATATTTCAAAACCCTCTTTTTCCAAACTAAATATATGGAATAGAAATAACGAAAAATATGAATCTTCCAATGTTATTTTGCATCTTTTGGTGTTCCTTATATAGGCTCTTGGAATGGCTATTTTGAATGCACTGTGTACATAAGCTTATGGAGCATATTGTGTACTTATTATTGCATGTGTTACTACTGTCATCAAAGGCTTATGTCCATAGTTCCATCAAAATACCCATTCCAAGAGTCCAGCGTTAGTATCAGTAATAAAAGGAACACAAAAAAGGGTGATATAACAGCTGTATGGAAGATTGAACTGACGAAACCGCTGGGAGGGTTCACCACTGATGAGCCATGATCAGTGAGCCTGGTGAGAGCACTAAGTCCTGGCTTTAGTTGCGATGTGAGGTCTGCTATGAGCGCTCCTTATTCTGAGGGGTGCCTTAAGCAACCCCTGAAGTTAGACCTTCCTGGGTTTGTATGGAAGGTGTCGAAACGCTTTTACCTAGTATGAGGTGTTCCAAAGGGTTTAACAGCCCTAAAATGGCGGTTGGGATAGGCGAGTACCACCTCTTGTTACTCATTATCATTAGGTTGACTTTTGATAAGGCACAAAAGCACTCTGCATCTTTATACAAACTCGCATGCTTTATTTAGGTTTTCCATCCTTTTGAATAACCATAGTCTCTCTGGGCCCGCTAAACAATGTACATCTTTCGAATATCATATACAAATTAATCCATATATTTCAAAACCCTCTTGTTCCAAACTAAATATATGGATTAGAAATAACGAAAAAGATGAATCTACCAATGTTATTTTGCATCTTTTGGTGTTCCTTATATAGACTCTTGGAATGGCTATTTTGAATGCACTGTGTACATAA